CACATAAGGATCTTAAGAGGGCAACGGAGGAATTCAAGGAGCCCCTGGAGTGTGCATAGTGCTACAGTTTATGTCAATAACGTCACAGCAGGTAAGTACAAACAACATATTGCAAGCCAGCCCAACTTTCACACTAGACCCTTGCATGCTCACTATGGATGCAAGCATCCTTGGAAGACAAATTTCCAAAATCTCTCTGTACACATCCTTTTAGTTCATTTCAATACCTCTATCAGGGAAAACAAGCAAAACCCGCAAACGTGGTCAAAGGGGATTGAACTAGTTGTCCATGTAATCCAGTATCCTCTGTGACTGTGAATAGTACCAGTTGCAGCAGTAGAAGGTACAAGAAATCATGTAGTGGACAGTTACAGTACTCACAGAGGAAGTCTTCTACCTCCTGTTAGAAGTTGACTTATGATTTGAGGCATGAGTGGTTTTTATATCCCTTCCAAAACCAGGGAGTAACCACAGGTCAAAGTTTCTCTGTGACAATGGAAATAATGTCTTGGATAGAGAAGACTCTGCTGTCTTTCAATACAGTTCACTTAAAGGATAAAGAAAAGGGAGAGTTTTGGTTCTCCTAGTTCTCCACTGGCCCCCTCTGGACTTGTTATATGGCTAAGAAGCCCACGTTACACCTACAGAAAACACCAGACCTCTTGAGAGAGGGACTCCTTCATTCAGACTGGGAACACTTACAGTTAACAGCCTGGATATCAGAAGAGAAGTGTAGTTCAGCATGAATTCTCCATAACTTCTGATACAGCTTGGTATCCAGACACAACTCAACCAGGATATTTTGTTCATTGATCTAGTCAAATTTACATTTCTGGTGTGAAGGAAAACCAAAAGCTCTTTGGGGCAGGGACCGCCTCTTTTGTGTGTGTAGTGCCCAGCCCAAGAGCCCTGACCTCCAGATGCTATTGTGACACATGTCATTATAATCCCAAAGGTCTGGTGATCTCAGTTACATATGGGTTTCTCCAGGAGAAATGGTTGAGTCCTACAAACAAACACCCTAGAAAACATGGGTACCACTCAGAACAGCTCTTTACAGACAGACACATTAGGTCCTCCAGTAGAGTATTGGGTGCCAAGTTTAATCACGATGACAAATTAGATAACCCTGTGGCTGGCCTTTCTAGTTGCCTTTACCTCCAACTGGCATGTTTTGGAAGTAGTTCCTATGGTCGTACAAGAACCACACACTTCCTTTGTCAAACAGAAAAGGTTATTTTTATAGCTCCAGAAACCTCTCTGTTCAAGGTAAGCTCCTCTTTCCACAGTTCTTGGCAAATAGTTCTCCCATCATTTTGTTCTAATCCTTGGGAGGTTGTGGCATAAATGGGCATTCCTAGAGCTCTAAAGCTATATCTCAAGTATATCAAGTACTTATGTCAATTTGTATTTTGTTCATCTCATTCTATTCAAAATGCCAAGGCCTTAGGACATCAAGGTTGCTGCAGATAAGAGATGAAAAATTCTGCATGCTAGGTGTCTGGGAAACTATTCACAGAAGTCCCCAGAGGCACTGAGGGAGAAGTATTGGCCTCATCTGAGGAAGACTTGCAAAATAAATTTCCGTCCCTCTTCAATGGTATCTTTTGGTGGGCAGGTGCTACTGGGTTGGTGCCCACATTACTCCTTCATTTATAAAGCTTTTACTCTCTATATGGGGGAACTTCCATTCCTGCCCGTTATTCTACTAGAATAATTTAATCTCTACTTATCCTTCCCCTCCCTAGTTTGAGGATTCACTGCTCACTACTTCCCATGAGTAATGAATGAGGAGAGAAGCTGCCTAATAGAATGAGAAATTTCTTACTTGATCATTTAATTTCTGTTAGCAACTTGTCTCGGAATTCAACCCACCCTATTAGTCTGGTAAACGACCAGAATATAAACTGAAATTTTTCTGTCAAGGGACACTTAGACATAATGTCTTAAAGTTAATTTAATAGTAATAAGTTAGATCAAGTTGTCTTAATGCTAATGATTAGTTGCTGGAATGTTTCTACAGTTCTGGAAGAACTCTCCTGATGGGCGGAAGTTAGTCCTGGAGCCTCTGGCAACAACACTGGACCACCTTTGAATTCCATAGGTGGGGGCCAGTAGCCCATGAATGAGTGAGGAGAAAAGCTGCTAACAGAGAAAATTATCAGGTAGGAAACGTCCCATTCTCTTCAATGGTTTTACAAAGCTGATAAGTCCAATGTGACCTGAAACCTCTCATTATCTTTTTTCCCAAAGCAACAGATGAACAGTGATAACTTTCATGTGATTATTATTTTACTGGTAAATGACTATATTTAAAGCGGGAGA